GATGGGTTTGAAAAGCAAATAACTCATAAACACGTGCACCGTGTGAATCTCGCCACATTGCATGCGAAGGCCGAGAGAGATACACATCTCTGCCTGAGTGACCGCACACGAGAGCGGGCCCGGGCTCGAGGGCCGGGTGGGCGAGTCCCTGGGTCACCTAGGGGGTTCAGACAGCGCCATGCTGGATGGGCCATTCAAGGCTGTGCACAGAGACCTGAACGTGTTTCCATAACAGGCGAGCCCAAGCACATCAGAGATTTAAAGTGCATGTGTCCATCAGTCAATGTTTGACACAGGTGACAAGCTGTTCACCTAGCTCTGAATGTTTCAGTGGTAACAAATGCATTCCTCATCACCATGAATTAATGACTTCCTGAGTTCCAACTCCACTTACTATCCAGCCTCTAAAAATTATTCTTTTTGAAATCCTAATATATATGCATATATATTATTAGATATCATTATATATATGCATATATATCATATATATATATAGAGAGAGAATCTGCTGGCAGATAATATTGTTCTGATCACATGAGAAGGACTCAGAATATCAGGGGGAAGCAAATGAGAAAAACTCCACCCATCAGAGAGAGGGGAGGGTTGGAAGAAGCAGCCAGTCGACACTTTTCTTACCAGCACCAGGAGCACAGGAGGAGGGATGAGAAGATGGCACAGGCATGTGGAAGAGACAGGAGAAGGGGTGGAGAAAGAACCAAGGGATCGGCATCTTTCACCAGCAAAAATTGTAGTTGACAAATAAAAAGCCCTTTAGCTGTAGGAAAGTTTAATCTTTAAAATGCAGTGAACTGCTGACATTATTATTATTATTATTGTTTTTTGTGAGGAAGATCAGCCCTGAGCTAACATCTGCCAATCCTCCTCTTTTTGCTGAGGAAGACTGGCCCTGGGCTAACATCCATGCCCATGTTCCTCCACCATATATGGGACGCCGCCACAGCATGGCTTGACAAGCAGTGCGTCGGTGCGCGTCTGGGATCCGAACCAGCAAACCCTGGGCCGCTGCAGCGGAGCACACGCACTTAACCGCTTGCTCCACCAGGCCAGCCCCAACTGCTGACATTATTTAAATTCAGAATCTTTTTTAGGATATCTAGATAATCTAAAAAATCAGTAATCTCACTTCTGCTAGGGAACACGCTTTTTAAACAGTCGCCTCATTCATTTCTTCACACTAGTTTTGATTTTGTTTATGGTCAATGAAAAGATCTCATAACTTTTTTCTAGCTTCAAATGTTATCTAAATTAAATAGTTGGAAGCTAATGGTAAGCCATCCCATGACCTATGGAAATCTCAGTGTATGCAGTGGTGCGCTGGTTTCTCATGCACATGGTTGGTGGTAGAGAAGACCGTGAGCAGCGGGAGTAGGTGCTTGTTGGTTCATTTGGATATCTGTCGGAGATTTGCAGAAGGAACGTAAGGCCACTGGCAGTGGATCTAGAGAACACCGTGTCTGCTGTGGGAAAACATCAGTGAGGAGAACTGTGGCTACAGCTCTGCTGCATTCGCCCAGGGAGCTCTCAGTGCTTCTCTGATTGAGCTGACATGGCGTGATTGTGGGTGGGGCTAGGTCACCTCAGCAGGGGAGGGTTGGGTGTGGTCCACACAATCCTTGAAGATCTTTTAAGTCACTCCCATAGTCTACATCGGAGTGAATGTTCTCAGTAGGTGGCTCGTGCTCAGGGACCTTGATATGGGGAAAATCATGTCTTTACGTCTGTAAGTCTAGAATCACAGCGAGCATGACAAGTGGTGACACCACGGGAGGCATGTAGGCATGGAGAGCAATGAGGGGATCTGAGGTTAGTGTCCCATCAAAGGCTCCATCCAGAGTGTACGTGTTCAATGAAAACAGTGGGCAGAATTGCCCACACTGTTGCATGACCTCTTTTTCGTTTTGGGAGGGGGGAGTGGGGTTGGGGTGGAGGTGGTTTGAGCATTCATGGTTGGTTGTGTATAAATAAAAGTGTGAGTATGAGGGACTCAGCTGTATTTTCTTCCAAAGAGGGTGCATTAGACACTTTATGAAAAGCAGACCTCCAAGGGGAGAGAACAGTGGCCTCTGTGGAGCGTGTCCACGGAAATCCAGCTTCACCAGGGCCTGAGGTAAGCTACTGGGAGGCCCTTCTCTTTCTTGGTGGCAGGCTGGACTAAAGGAAGAACTTAGCTCCAGCTGTTGGTCTGACCCGGGAGTGGGCCCTCCTCCCCTGCCCTGATGTGGAAGGGTCCTGGCCCTGGGGGTTATTACCAGGGGGCGGCTAAGTGGGTCTTTGTTGGGAAGAAGGGGTCTGCATACCATGTGCAAAGTCAGGGCCCACGACCCGCCTGGGTTGGCTGCTGAGTCCGCCCGAGCTGCAAGAATAAGCAGCATCTCCTACAGGTGGAATATCTCCCTCATCACCTGACTGAGACCAGCCACCCCCACTGTTGCCGTCCACTGTAAGCTCTAAGGAGAAAAAGGGAATCATGTAATTAAACAGATCTCACCGCTTTTCACGTTCTCCTTGCAAGGAAACCCGTGCAAGAGGGGTCTCCTTTCTAAAGGCCAGGTTTCGTTTCTTTAGTTATTCTTGTTCATGTTTCCTCTCCGGACGTAGAGAAAATGGGCTGCATTTCCTCACTCTGTAAACTCAGTAGCCAAAATAACTGGGGAATGGGAGAACGTGGAGATTTTCACAGTCAGATTAGAATCCTCTCAAATGTGGTACTTCATTTTTAGAAGGGGATATATACCCTCAGGCTTTCTTGTCTGACGGTAAATAACTAGACTGATGCAAAGACCAAAACTTGGAAAGGAAGAAACCAACTCCAATGAAATCCTCTCTGGAGCCACATACCCATGCTCCGATGCGCTGAGGCCCTCCTTATGCTGATTACATGATTTAGGATTTACCACATGCGGATCGACATAATTTTTGTCTTTTAAATCAGGAGGGGCATTGTTTTGTTAATTTAGGAAAACTGAGACTATTAACAAGTATAGTATTTTTATTTAATCGTGAATGCTTTGCTTATTAAAACTATATTCAGGAAGTATATGGCCTACAGACTTAAGTTCCTCTGAAAAAGATAATTGATACTTTTGGAGTACAGCAGATTTCTAAAATATTAATTACTGATATTCGCACAAGAAAAATATAAGTGAATCAGCACTAGAGGAAAATAGTTTGTTCACACTCACTGATGTTCGTTTCCCAGGGTCAGTGGCATGATGCTCCTCTTTTTTGGTGGCTGCTGAGCACATTTCACTTTTGTCTTTTGAAAATATAATGGGGCCTTCCGTATGTGTACATATGTGTATGAATATGTGAAGTGCTTGCTATTAATTAGGCTTTTTGTGTGGATTCTTGTATTGCTCCATGATAAGAAGTCAGGTACAATGAAAGCAAATCTATCACGGAATTATTTAACACTTTCTGAGTTACGTTATTAAAGAGGCTTTTTTCTGTTAAGGTGTTAACATAGCATTATTCCCTTTCTACTAATTTACGAATTTACTAATTTAAATGAATAACTAATTTAAGTAGTGTCTCACTAAAATTAAGACACATGTGCAGCCTTTTGAATTCTTCACCTTAAGACAAACCCAACTGAAGGATTGTCAGACTCGCTGAGGATGAGGGTCACCTGGCAAGACTGGATGCACTGATCTTTTTCCTTTACTTGCTTGTCCAGTTGGCAGTCTGAATCACCTGATTTTCAGTTCTGTAGACTTTCCTTCTCCATCCTAGGAGAGTGGGGTAGGAGACGCACCAGATGTCCTCAAAGGACACCCTTCAGAGCGCCCACGACGTTAGTTGTTCCGCTGCATGAACAGCAGCAGTTCATTTAACCAGCGATGCTTGCGGTCCTTGCTCACTAAAGTTACTATGAAATGAAGACTCGGAGACCAGGGTCAACAGCAGACGCAGATCGGAGTCGTGAACTCAGGCCGGCCCTTCCTCCGCCTTGTCTCTAGGGACAGTTGGTCCCTGACAAGTCATGTTTTGTAAGCCAGGAGAACCTATGCAAGTGCTGTGCTGGTTACAGAGGGAACTATACGCAGACTAGATGAAGACCTGAGCCACGTGGCGCTACACTTAGAACCCTCGAAGGTAGTTGAGGCTCAGTAGATACGTAACTCTGCTAGCCAATCTGTAATAAGAGCAATCAGTGTTTTCCAACTGTGCACATTTGTTATTTTTCAGTCAACTGAAAATACCGTTTTGAAGGATCTTTAACATCCTATGAAATTTTTACTGATAAAAATAAAAATGTTCTAAAAACTGTAAAGATGGAAAAGGAAATTTTTTTAACCTATGGTTTGGACTCGATGAGGAAGAAAGGTCTGGAAGAAGGGCAAAATTTTAAAGGATCTGTTTTGCTTTAGACAGACTTGCTTTACTTTTAGTGGATGTGAAAGCAGATTGATTGTCTTTTAAACTTCAGTCATTTAAATGCGATTAGAGCTGTCTTTTCAAGCATCTAGACCGTCCATGAGTCATTTTCCTCAAGCCCCCTGTGCCGCCACACCAAGATAGTTGCTCTCATCTGCTTCTACCCCATTAACAGTTCTCCCTGCTCTGTGTGTGTGTGTGTGTGTGTGTGTGTGTGTGTGTGTGTTCACAAAAGGCTAGTTTATCTGTGCTCATTTCCAGGTTCCCTTATCTTGTGCATAATAATACTTTTTGGAATTGTCTTTGCTGAGATTCATTCCAATAACAGAAGTCTTCCCATCTGACCTTCAGCCACCTTCCCCTCTCATCAGATTGATTAGAATGACTGAAATGACAGCTTTCAGCATGACTGGCTGAATTCCAAAAAGTAAGAGAATGGAAATGGGACGCCAGCGGATGACTCATGAGCGAGGAGGTGACCAGATGGATGAGGGCAGCACACACGTCAGGGGACAGACACACTCAGGCCTCGTGGTGTTTTTCATAACTTTTAACCCTCGTCGCCAAAGTGACTCTCCATTACTCAGGGCTTGCTTGCATGTTGAGTTTGGCCACCATCCCTGCTCTGCTGCGTCTTTGACCGTGAGCATCTCATGAGAGCGTGAACCGGGACGTGGAGAGACGACACACTGCCATCTCTTCAGTGCTTACGTGGTTCAGCCTCTCCAGGGAAAACAATTGGTAGGAAGAAGATTGACGTAAAGAAGCAATATGATATTTTGGGAATACTTACAAATAAGTTTTATTTATCTTGCACTGTGTCTGCCTTCTTTTGGCCGTAAATAATTGAGAGTTTTCTGTATTTAGTTAAAAATGCTATTCCTAATAATTTTTTAAATGTTTAGATCGAGGACTAAGCAGCCATGTGCTCTGCAGTGGAAAGAAAGAGAAAGGCGCCAACCAGGCCCACTAACCAATGGACGGGACCATCACTGGCCGGGCCCTGTGGGGCCCAGCACCGCCGTGGGAAAACCTCCGGCCCCCGTGATCTGCCCTCTCGGCCCGTCCTGCCAACACCGGGTTTCCTAAAATCTGAAGACAAAAAAACAATGACAGTCATCAGTCTTGCCAGCCCTGGGAAGGACAGAACCGAGTCAGCCCAATCAGTTCAACTTAGAAGCAGAAGCTCTAAAGGCAACTAAACTTAGCTTTTAACTGAAAGGTTAGCTGAATAACCTGGAAGAGAAGAAAGCTGCTCGCCCAGGCACCTGTCTTCCACGGCAGAGTTGCTTTTCGACCCACGGGTGGGGGTGGGGCGAGAGAGTTCCTTGGGGGGCACCTTTTGGTTGCTGCTACTGCTGCTGAAGCCGCATGTTTTGAGCCAGAGTAAGAGGATCTTAGACAGCACTCCCCACACCTTGGCACCTCTAACCCATAACAACCCTTCCCTAGTCTCAGTTCAGCCTGCCCTCTGCCGACGATCCCAAAAGTGGGGAAAACACTGCCTTTCCAAATGTCCTGCTTGGACAAGTTGTATGTGAGGTTACTGAAAGCTCAGAGACAGAATCTTCTGTGCCTTATCAGCTTTGAGACCCATGGCAACGTCTTGGCCCTAATTTGAAGACACCAGTCCCACTTCAGGGCTCACTGGAATGGTCCTCCTTTGTAGGTAACTTTGCCTCTCATTTGCACTCAAGGTTAGAGTCATATCAGAGAATCAAGGCAAAACCTCCACTCCCGGGTTAGTAATTTGAGTCAGGAAGCTCTGGGGGGCACAGGGAATGAGCAGGGTTTAGGGAGTTCCAGTAATTAGCTCAGCACAGGCGGGCACAGGCTGGGGCTGCAGGGGCCTGTGGGGCTGCAGCAGGCGTGGAGCGGCGCTCTCTTGTGGACGTGTCACAGACCGCACTGGCTCAGACCCAAGCCCGGCCCACGTCACGTCTCACCTGTTTTCATGGAAAAGTTCAGCATGGCAGGAGCAAATGTTCTGCAGAGAGGACACAGCACAGAAATGAATGAAGGCTTGCATGAATCCCTGCTCTTGAAAACCAACTCACAAGCCTGGAAGACAAGGCAGGGGGTGTGTCTGGAGCTGAGGATGGAAAATTCATTCTGAAAACTGGACACCGGAAAGAAACAGGAAAAAAAAGAAACTTTGCAAACAATATGCAAAAATGGATCTCTTCAATAATTTTTTTTTTTCATTTATGGATGAAGGCCAAAAAAACACAAAAACCCAAAACAACGACAAGAAGAAAACCTTCAATAATGCCCACAGTCACAAGTAAGTCCCTGGGTTCATTTTGAGAGAATAGGTGTCACCAAACGTGTGGCTAATCGTAGTTCAGCTAACCCTTAATTAAAATTTAGATTCAGTTGTCCTTTAATGAAAGCAGCCATACTCATTATTGATTCTGGGGCGGGGGAATCATTGTTCTAAAGCAAAGTAAAGAAATCTTCAGCACGGTCAAAAGATTGGGAAGCAACGGGACTCGATAAATCAAAAATGCATGGAAAACTAAAGAGAGCCAGCAGACAGATCCCCAGGGATGGACACCAAAAGAAATAAGGTGGAAGGATGAGAACAGATTGGTTTGGCAAGCGGACATGAGGAGGGAGTGTACTTCACACACCGGGGCCCCCTGGGCAGCCCGGGGAGCTGGCTGCACACGCTTGGCGGCTGCGCAAGTTTCGGGCGCATTTATGCTTTTCTGCTGGACATCCCGGAAGTCTTCGTGCGCAGCGGGCTCGTCCCAGCCGTGTTTCCTGGGGGTGGGTCTCCCTGGGCTCAGGTGGGCTTCATCGCTCCTGATGGCCTCCACCTGCTCCCCAAAGTCCTCTTCGATGCTGTTCTGCCGGGTCAGCGTCCGCCGCCGGGCCAGCAGGGGCCTCGGGCTCCTCCTGCACGGGCACTGCCCGGGGCCCGGGCTGCACTTGGCAGCGGGGTTTCTGAAACTAAATCGCAGCTCGTCTTCTTCGCTCCCACAGTCCAGCCCACTGTCTGGGCTCCTGGTGGCAGAGCGGCTGAACCAGCAGCCTTTGTCTTCGAGAACGAAGTCCTTGGCGTGGGTGCCAGCCCTGAGGCCCCTAGGTTTCACAGGGAACCGGGAGCCCTGCAGGGCCTCATGTGCCCCACAGGGCCTGGTGGGCCTGGGCTCTCTGGCCAGCACAGTTCTGGCCCTGGAGGAGTATCCTGAGCCCTGTCTGTGCAGGAACTCACAGTGCTCTCCGTCCTCCTCTGCTACTTCGGGGATACTGGATAGTTTCTTACTGCGGTGGGTTTGTCGGGGGAACTCAGGCTGTTCCGAGAAAGCTGCCTCAGTGGTCCTATTCTGATAGCCTTCCTGATTGGGGGATTACAACAGGTGCCGGGGAGCAGTGCATGATCAGACATGAAGTGGGGCCGAGGGAAGGAAAGAAAATACAGACAGAATTAGTCTCAGAGGCGGGGAGGATACAGAAAGCCCGCTTTCTCGTGGGGGCAGTGCATGCTCTGGCAGGGCTCTGAAATGAGAACAGAATGGGTTAAACGAGTGGCGGCCGGACATCTGTCAGGACCGGACCATGCGGCTACACCGAGAGGCAGCGGCGGCGGCGGCGGCCGGGGAGGATGGAGGCAGGAGGCGTCACGTGGCCAAGGCTCCTTGGCTCTGTGGGCCAGTGCGCCCAGAGCAGAGGGGGTCTGCACCCCATGTACACTGCCTGTGCCCTCAGAAACTCAGAAGCCGGCTGCCACCGGATGCCGGGTGTGACTGCAGACCACTCACCCAACAGTGACCCAACCCGTGACTGTCCCCGCCACTGGACGTGTCATCTTCTTCCTAGCTCTCAGCACCCTCTGAAATCCTTCCTTCCTGTTTTGTTTTCTCCCTGGCTAAAATACAGTGGGAACTGGGCACCTTGTGGCTCAGCGCCATATCCTAGCTCCGGGAAGGCGCCTGCTACACAGTCATGCTCCTCAGTGTCTGCAAAGGCCGGGGGTCCGTCTGTCTCTCCTGGGTCCTGGACTTCGAGGCCAGAGAGGAGAGCCATGTTCAGCTATCCTGGGCTCCAGGGCCTGGCGCATGGCCGGCACCCAGTGGGTGCCTAGTGAACGTTCGTGGAACATCTGCTGTGAGTCTGCATGGCCTTGCAGGAACTACTTTCTCTGCCAGGAATGTCCCTTAGCCTCATGCTCCCCCAAAAGACGTGCACGCCCACCCAACGACCCCCCACGGAGTGTCTGTCCTTCGGAAGGAAGTCACGGACTCTCCTGGCAAGCCACGCCCTGCCTCTCCTCCCGTTGGCTTCCAGGGAAGGCTCAGTAGAGACAGACCTCGTGGGAACATTGTGATCTGCTGCCTTGCCTGCCCCCCACGTCCCGTGGGCTCCAGCACGGGGACCCTGGTGGGTTTATCCAATGCCGTGTCTGCATGTGCTCGGAACTCACTGAGGGCAGGTGAGGGGGGCAATGAGAACGCGCTCTGCCAGCTGATCCAACATCTCCCATTTGCTGACGTGATGCGGAGGGCGTCTATTCTGGGGATGTTAGGCTGAAGAAGGACAGCGAAGCACAGCCACCTGTGGAGCACAGGGGTCTAACCTGGGAGCTTCCCAGGGCCAGGCCGGGACCCTGCCTGAGTGAACCGTCCAGTCAGGAAACTGGCTCGGCTGCAGCTAAGTGTTGCCACGTGGGAAGGTGGGCGCAGTGCGGCCCGATCCCCAAACTGTGTCTTGGAATTTCTACAGAGAAACCAGAAGTCCAGATCAGCCTGTAAAACCTCCTGATTTTTAAAGAACGTGGGAACGCTGTGGGCAAAGTGCAGTCAGCATGCAGCTGCCGTGGACCCCACTTCCCACCGGCTGTGATCTCACCTCCATGTGGGACGTGGCTGTCCCTAAGGGGGTCGGCTGTGCCTGTGGGTGTGGGACTTGGGGATACAGTTTATAAGGAACCGGCTTGTCCTCCGGGCCGCCTCCCCTGGAGAGAAGGTGACCTCTCGTTTCTTTGCTGGACAGTTCACAGGAAGTACCATCCCCGGAGCTTTGTCCATCCACAGGAGAAGCCTGGTGGACACTGGGGAACACGGATGCTCTTCTCCTGGACCAACTGGGAGCACGTGCGGGAGCTCTTGGTTCTAGGCAAAGTGTGGGGGGTCGTGGGGGCGGTCACACAGACCACCCACGGGGCAGCTTGGGGCCCGCTGTGAATCCTGCTCCGAGTGACTTTGGGAGGTGGCAGGGGTCGGGAGGAGCCAGTAGGAGCAGCAGGGGCCGAGACCATGGAGGATTCGCATAGGGTCTGGCATGTTTTTGGCTGCCTGGGGCCTCTGGGGGTGGGGAACGTCGGTCAGTCTTTATGGGCGGTAGGCGCTGGGTTGGCAGCAGATCTGGACGGTGCCTCTGTCTACCATTCAGAATGCGTGCCTCTGTGTTCTAACAGAAACGCGGTGGGCGGGGCTTTATCCCCCAGGGGACTGTTCCTCGCCAAGCCTGTTTTCATTTGAAAAACCCACAGAGGTCCTACCAGCTGCCCAGCCCTTTGTCTGTCCCCCAACCCAGGTTGGGAATGGCTGGAGGGTGGGGGCCACATCTGTCCGTGCAGCCCCCAGCCTGGCACAGGGCCTGGTGCACAGAGGTGATCAGCTCGTGGGCTCGGTGGAGTGAATAAATGCCCTAGCTGGCACAGTCAGCAGCAGCGGCAGGACAGCCCCCCAAGGCAAGGGCAGAGGGACACACACCGAGGGCAAGCCTCTTCGTGGGCTTGACAGCAGCCTCAAGCCCAGTGTCCACTAAGGTGACCTCCCATCAAACCCCCGCTGACGGCCACACCCGAGGTGGGAGCAGAGGACGCCGGGGTCTCTGGTGGGACGTGTCCAGAAGGGGCTTGTGTGTGGACCTGCTGTCCCCCGGGACGCCATCCCTCCACACCCGGCCCTCCTCTGACCTCCCGTGTCCGCCCAGCCTCTCTCCCTCTCCTGCTCCTCCTCCCACCCTCCGGCAGGGCCACTTCCGTTCCTTCCTCTTAGAGAGTCTTGGCTCCATCCCCCGAGCTGGCCCCGCACATCCCCAGTCTCTGGTTCTGACTCCAGGCTGATTCCTGCCAGCTTCTGCTTGTCTGTGGATGAGCCCTTAGGACCGTGTGGGTGTGTGGGTGTGTGGGTATGGGTGTGTG